ACTTTTGTAGGTTAGATTAAGCTAGAATAAATCTATGCGGCTCAAATTTGCATTTTTGGGATACTGAGTGTCGTATTTCGCCATCATCGTTTGCATCCAAATTGGGTTAGTCTGTCGCGTCACACTATGTCGAGTTTATACTTTCCTTACCTTACCAATTATTAGTATTAAAAGGAGTATAAAGTGAATAGTGCAAGAAGATGGTGAGGGGCCGAGTTTGAGTCGACTGAAGTGCGAATCCCCTTTAAAGACGCGCGTATGCCTCTTTGTATTCTTTATGGTTTTGCTCTGCATCGACGTACACCTAAATGACGAGTATCCTATCGCTGTGCTTGACGTCGCCTCGATCTCATACCCATTGCTTTCCATTACACGCATAGAAATTCCTGTTGCGCTGCAATAAACACATCATGGTACATCACGTTAAAATGCATATCTGGCCTCATGCATTGAGATTTTCCATTACAAAATCGAGATTTACTGCTTAAATTGTATGTCATAATGCATAAAGCATATAATACATCTAATTTGGTCTTCGCCGAAGATTATGCATTATAACATATATTATTACTGTATAACATATTAACTGCGTGCAATCTTCATTGGTGAATTGTACATTTTACCACATTGCGATATTTATGATGGTAACGCGACGTTGTGTCCCTATGTTGGTTACCATCTTTTTTACGCAAACAAAGCTATAAATGAGAATCTACTGGGAGAAGAAGAGTGTCCGATACTTCGAGAACATTGTTAGCTGAAGATGAGCGAAGTGCACAAGGAGGACAATACTATAGCATGCAATCATCAAAACACAAGGCGTTCATCTACAGCAGGTGGCAACAATACGTCCGAAATTCGAAGAGGTACACCAGAGCCCAAAGCTGTCGACCCGAAGCCCGACGTTCACTCAAAGAAGTCTGAGCACGATGAAGTTATAAGTATGCTTCTAAAGCAGTATAAAGATTACAAACAGGTTGATCAGTGGTGTGAGACTATATTAAGCGAGCGGAGGAAAGGAACACCGAACGGCACTAGTCATGGCCTTTATAAAGTCGGTTTAGAACTTGAAAAAATCAAGAAAGAAATGGTTCATTTTACTTTTGACAGTAAAAAACACGAGGAGAACTTCAAACGGGCAAAAGCAGAGAACCAGAAAATGGAGACCATGTGTGTAGATCTACTACTAGTGTGATTTAATTACATCCACTTGCTAATCTGAACATCAATTACATAGTCTTAACACTCCCTGAAGTGGATCATTATATGTAGGTAATTGTTAAATTCTCAATAGTATCAATCGGGTTAACTACAAGTTAATTGGGTCTATATTGGCAAGGAATGCTGGCGATTAGAAATGATTGGTAATAGATGCTTACTGTAATAAATGCAGTGTATACAGTAAAGTACTATTCTGTATATATCTTTATTACTGGTTATGCTTGGTCCTGCAATTGATCACGGAAATTTCCGAATCGACCGAAATAAGGAATAATCCCTACCCGTGAGGAATGATTAAGTGTACTTTGCAACAATGGTAAAGTGTCTTGTTTGCAGCAACGCAAGTGTGATTCGTGATTTCCACCAGAGATAAGCGTATGCTTCTTTATGTTCATTATGGTTCTGCTGTGGTTAATTGTAAATCACTAGATCACAATAGCCTGCTGCTCACCCACTTGAAGACACTTCGGCTTTATATATATTCTCTTCATCTTACTCATGCAAGACCTTATTGCACTACAGTGCCTTATTGTATCCACCCACCAGTAATCACACTACTTTTCAAAGAATAGAATATAATGTCCGAGTCATACCTCAGCTACTAACTTTGCTATGAAGACAAAATTATACATGAGGAGGCTCCGGAAATGCAGCTTTGGGCGGCGAAGTTGGTGAAGATGGTGCATACTGCAATGTACTCAACGACCCTAATCTCTGTTATCCTTGCATCAGCTAAGCAAGATGGTACGCAGAAGGCATTGAACAAACGTCAGACGAGGTAATTTCTGCGCGCATGCTCCAGTCCTTGACAAATGCGCATCCGTGTTACAGAACTTACAATTAGTATACTAAGTCGGAACAACAGATTGTGCAAAAAATACACACTTTAAGTCCTTGTCGTACTTCACGGACGTAGTGGAGTCGTTTCTGCATCTCGCTGTCGCCAAGTCCAAAGAACTTTGGACCGAAATTCGCTACGACCCTGTTACCACATATATCCATTTCGAAGAGGTCGTGCCACACAGTAAGCGATAGTATCGATGGAGGTCAATTAGGCACGGAGCTGACACTACGCTCTGCACGTTCGGCTCCAAGGTGTTCAGGGTGCTTTTTCAAGGTGGTTTTGAGCACACTCAGCGTATATGAAATCTCTCCACTCCCTTCTCCTCTCCCGTTTGACTTTGCTTATCCTATACTCTGTATCCGCAGGAAGCCCGAGAGGAGAGTTCCAGCACCTGCCTGGGTCCCTTGCATCTCCCGTTGAACTTCATGATACGGATCCGTGTCTGGCACCATACTGCATCAAGAGCTGTTGTAGTTACGTGGGCTGCGCTCCATCCCGGTTTGTCCTGAAGTCGGTCACGGATTGCTAAGCTGCTTGGCTTGTTGCGTTACCCAGACATCAAGCACGGGAAGGAACGCGGCACGTCAGGACAAGGAGAGGATTCTAGGTACTACCATAAATCCTTTGAGCAAAGTAAAGTGGGGAAGAGCATGGTACGGCAAATTCCGGAAAAGGAGATCGACGCGCTTACGGAACAGCAAACAAATACTACATGCCAATGCGAAACTCGTCCTATCAACTGAAAAAAAGTGATAGAGTGTACGATGTAGAAAAATGGTGAATGTCTTGTTTGCACCGACGGGAATGCGACGCCCCTCAAAAGGCGGGCGTATTCCTCTTTGCATTCATTATGGTTTTGCTCTGTGTCATTGTAAACCTAAATCACAACTATTATGCCCCTCACGCACTTGCCGTCGCCCAGTATTTATACCCATGCTTTCTATCTCGCGCATATATAAAGTCCTATTACGTTATAATATGCTGATCGTACACCGTCCTCGTCGGTTAATTGCGCA